GTAATTTGAAATTTACATCTTACACATTTCTTGTAAAATTTATTTCTAAGTGTTTTACTTTTGTTGTTGTTGCAAACAGAATGTATTTTCTGAGTTTCAATTATTTGCTTGTATTAGAAATTTTTTATTTCCATGCATTTATTTTATACCCCACTATTCTTTGGCCACCTATGAAGAGTTGACTTATTGGAAAAGACCCTGATGCTGGGAAAGATTGAAGGCAGGAGGAGAAGGGGACAACAGAGGATGAGGTAGTTGGATGGCATCACCGACTCAATGGACATGAGTTTGAGCAAGCTCTGGGAGATGGTGATGGATAGGGAAGCGTGGCATGCTGCACTCCATGGGGTTGCAGAGAGTTGGACACGACTGGGCGACTGAACAGCAGCAACAATTTTACAAGATTCTTATTGTTCTATAGTAGTTTTTATTTTTGGATTTATGTTTGGATTTTTCAACTATGCAGACATATATTTTTACCTCCTATTTTCAGTGTCTATAACTAATTTCTCTTAATTATATTTGGTATTATAATGTTAAAATGAAAATAGTGGTGACAATATTCATTCTTTTAATATTTTGAATTTTGTAAGAATATCAAATACGCTGCAGGTTTGGGTTGACATAGATATATGTGTCATGTTATTGAATATATGTATTATTGAGTAGTTTATTAAAAATTTCTATTAAACTTTTTCAAGTGCCTTTTAACATTTTGGGAGTTGATTATATGAATTTTCCTTTAGATTTTTTAATGAGATAATTTATAGTAATGAATTTCCTAATAATGAATCATCCTTAAATTCTCAGGTTAAACTCTTCTGTGCTTTGCTTTGTTTTTGGCCGCACCAAGCAGCTTGCTGGATCTCAGTTCCCTGACCCAGGATTAAACCCGTGCCCTTGGCAGTGCAAGTGCAAAGCCCCAGCCCCTGGACAGCCAGGGAATTCCTGATTAAATTCTATTTGATAATGATTTAATGTACTGTTGGACATTGCTTTCTAATTTTTTTTTTTTAGGATTTTGTTTGCTTAAGTGAGATCATGTTGTAATTATTTTATGCAATTTTTGTTAGATTCATTTTCATGACTATTCCACTGGTATTTACAAAGAAGTTGTGTTTTCTGAATGTGTACAGTTTGACATTTATCAATAAAAGCTAACATTTGGTTATTTTTTTTTTTCTATTTGACAAAGAATAAGTCTCTTAATAATTCTGCTTGTATTTCTTATAATTATGACTGTAGCCCGCCAGGTTCCTCTGTGCATGGAATTCTCCAGGCAAGAATACTGGAGGGAGTAGCCATTCCCTTCTCCAGGGGAATCTTCCTGACCCAGGGATCAAACCCAGGTCTCCATATTACAGGCAGATTCTTTACCGTCTGAGCCACGAAGGATGCCCCCATAAATAAGACTGCTATGTTTATTGTCATATAGATATTTATACCATTTCTATCTTAATTTTGCATTTTACTTCTTAACATTAAAATTTTTTCTTGTTATCTCATTGATCATTTAGGTGTAAACTTCTTTTGCTGCCATTTACTTGACATATTATTTTTCATTCTTTTATTTTCAAACTTTCTCTTTTTCATGGATCTTAGAAATATCACAAAGTTGTGTTTTGCTCTTTAGATCATCCGAAGACCAGTGTTTTTAGATGTAAAGCACATTTTTATTTAATTATAGATTCAATATGTTTAGTCTTAGTTCTAGCACATTGTTTTATGTTTTATGTTCTGTTTTTGAAAGGGTTTTTTTTTAAGGATCTGTATTGTATTTATATTTATTGTATGTTTCTTCAGTTTTGTTTGTGGCTCTATTAGTTCTAAGTATGGCAGTGCTTACATTTATAAATATAATTTTATATAATTTTCTCTTCCTTATACTTTTTGACCAAATCTGTTGGTTATTACCTATGAACAATAATGAGAAAAAGAATGAATTATGTTACAAAGTCTGTGACTTCCGTCTTGCTGGCACTCTCTCTCTTGCTGACACCTTCTGCCTTCCCATTTGCTCACTCTGGTCTAAGGAGAGGGTTTTGTGGCCAGGAACTTAAAGAGGCCTCCAGCCAACAGCTCATGAGGACCTTATGGCTCAGTCCGACAACTCATGAGTAACTGACTCCTGCCAACAGCTCTGTGAGTGAGTTGGAAAGTGGCTCCTTCCCAGTTGAACCTGGAGATGACTGTAGCCTGAGAGAGACCCAGAGCCAGAAAATACAGTTGAGATTCTCAACGGTATTATGATAGACCTGGATTTCTTATCTACAGGAGCCATGAGTTCGTAGTAAGGTTGTTTTAAACCAGTAACTGTTGGCGCAATTTGTTATGCATCAATAGATAGCTATCACATGAATACTAAGGGGCTTTTGCATTTCAAGTTGTCTCTTTTCTGAAGAGTGTGTTTTTGCTGGAATATCTCCTCTGTCCCGGCTGGGCCCTCTCATGTCTGTCTCTTCATACTTCTTTTCATTCTCTTTCTTGACTCTACCTGATCTCATCTGTGATACTGCATAATTTGAAATTTCTGGATTATCTGTCTGAAAATGTAGTTTTCAGAATCTTTTTCAACTTTTTTGTTGCTTTTATGTGCTTTCCAGGGAAAGGTGGGGGGAAAACATTGGCTTATGCAGTTGTGTTCATAGCAGAAGTCTTATTGTTTAGCTTGGTCTATAGTGATGATAAACTTCACATGTTTACTTGGCATTCTTTATCTATTTTTGTAATTTAATCAATATTCTATCAATTTGTCTGAGTTTTCTTACTGATTGGTAGAAGCTCTTTATACACTAGAGATATTAGCTTTTATCTTTTTACTACTTGTCCTTTAAAACTGAAAATGATTTCAGTGATCCCTACATTTATAAAAATTTTTTATTAAAAGGTCTTAAATTTTTCTGTAGTCAAATTTACAATTATTTCCATTATGAGTCAGTATTTTGAGTCTGGCTTAAGAAGGCCTATGAAGACAGGGATTTTGAATTGTGGGAACTGAAGGATAATACATACATAGTCTACAATGACACCTAAAAAGGTAGGGAGAAAACAGTCAACATTTCTATAAAATATATAGACAATGTTTATGGAGTAAAAATATTGGAAAATTAAATTATCCAAAATGGGGAGCTTTAAAAAAATTAAATAACATTTACATTAAAGATCATCTGTCTGGAATCTAAAATAAAATATTTGGTCTATATTTGCTGCCACACTATTAAATGACTATCTTTTCCCTCACTGATTTGAAATGCTTTACTTATTAAATATAACTTTTCATGTAACTATTATCAGGATTGTCTGCTGATGTACTTACTTGTCCCTACACCAATATCACACTGGTTTACATATTATAGCACTAAAGTATCCCAATTCTTGGCTTCTCAAGTGGCTCAGACAATAAAGAATCTGCCTGAAATGCAGGAGACCCAGGTTCGTTCCCCAGGTTGGAACGATCTCCTGGAGAAGGGAATGGCTATCCACTGCAGTCTTTTTGCCTGGGGAATTCCATGGACAGAGGAGCCGGGTAGGTACAGTCCATGAGGTCACAAAGAGCTGGACACGACTGAGCGACTAACACACATACACACACACATACACACATCCCAATTCTATTATATCACACAGTGGCCAAGAGACCTCAGTGAATGCCTCTAAGCCTCAGTTTCTACTTGGCAGTGTTGTTTTAGGAATTCAATGTATAAAGCATACAAATAAATAAATTTTCTGGCCCCATCACTCATACAAAATAAGCATTCATAAATGATTACCATTAATACCATCATAAAGCATAATGAAATTAGACTGTAGGTAAAAAATTAATGATAATACTATTACTCGGCATTTAAAAAATGCAACATACACTATCTCTCTTATATTTCCCTGTGTGTTCAAAGGACTGCTAGGGAGTTTGGGATGGACATACACACACGGCTATATTTAAAATGGATAACCAACAAGGACCTACTGTATAGCACATGGAACTCTGCTCTACGTTACGTGGCAGCCTGGATGGGAGAGGGGTTTGGGGGAGAATGGATACATGTATATGTAAGGCTGTGTCCCTTTGCTCTGCACCTGAAGCTATCTCAACATCGTTAGTCAGCTCTGGTGGTGGTTTAGTCGCCAAGTTGTGTCTGAATCTTGCAACCCCATGGTCAGTTAATGGCTAATGTGCTACACTCCAATGTAAAATAAAAAGTTAAAAGAAAAAGTTCCAAGGGAACTTCCTCCTGTAAGGAAGATCATTCTTCTCCTGTGGGGAGATCATTCAGACTGGGGTAGATACTTAATTCTCCTAGGCTGACAATACGAACAGTGGTAGGAACCAAGAGTAACGGATAGAGTGTGGTAGGAAAGGGTCCCTGGGTCAGTAACCAAGGGGAGCAATGGCACTTCATGCAAATTTCCAGAGGAAGGCAGTTCACAGTTGCCTAGCAACATGTAAACACAGAAGAAAGAAGAGAAAGGCATCAAAAAAAATCAAGCAAATGTTACTCTCTCACCCATTTATTATTCCTACATTGTATATAACTCAAGAGAAACAGGATATATGTTTGATCTCCAAAAACAAGCTAGCCAGACAGTGAAGTGCATACAGCTCAAATATAACCATAAAAATATAATTGGTAGTAGTAAGTAGCCCAGATTATATATATACAGACAAAACTGCATATGCTTACAGCGGGATTCCAGGTGCAACAGAACCATTCCATTCAATGCAGCAAGAATTTGTAAGCCTTCCAGGGACACATGGAAGAGAATGAGGCAGCCCACACCTCTAAGAACTTTAAAACCTGAGAATAAAATGGGCTTCTTCGATGACTCAGAGGGTAAAGAATCCACCTGCAATTCAGGAGACACAGGAGTTGCGGGTTCAATTCCTGGGTCAGGATGATTCTCTGGAGGAGGGCCTGGCAACACACTCCAGGATTCTTGCCCAGAGAATCCCATGGACAAAGGAGCCTGGTGGGCTACAGTCCAAAGGGTCGCATAGAGTCGGACGCAACTGAGCAACTACACACACACACAAATGCACACAAACAAGGATAAAATGAATAAACAGATCATACTACAAGGCAGAATTCATGTCACAACTGAGCAACACCTCATTTATGCCTCCAAGGTGAAAGAGATCAAAGTTTGAGGTGGGGGCACATTCAGAAAAGCTTCCCAGAAGAGAAGCCATTTGCATTAACCTTTAAAAATTAAACAGGGGAAAAATTAAATAGAATTTTGACAGGTAGATGTGGGATAAGAGACCACATTTAGTACATCATGGAGGAAACTCCAGGCATGTTCAGAATAATGATAACCCACATTTTGCTGCAAAATAGGGTTGGGTCTACTAGAATGGAAGCCGGGAGTTTTCTTAAATCTTAAGTATCATATACAGATGAATCTCTCCATGTCAAAGATAAAACTGTTGCCACGTTGTGGTGAGTGCCAATTTATGAACCTGTGTTTCAACTGATAGGCACTGGGCAGTGAAAAGGGTATGGTGAAATGGTCAAGAGATTAATCTGGTAATGGTACTTTTGACTTGGTGGTGGGTGGGGAGTCACTGTAATAAGGTAATTGGTGAAAAATAAATATAAGCAGTCCAGGTGGGAGAAGAGGACAGTCTAATCTAAGAAAGGATCTTCTAGAACAGGAAGACAGGAACAGATAATAGAGACAGTGACCAATTGTAGAGACCAATAGAGACCAATTGTAGACAAGTTGCTGATCAGATGGAAGGGTTCAGCGGAGAGTGAGGAGTGAAAACTAACTCAGAGTTGGTAAGTCTGACTTATTGGATATCAGTAATATAGAAAATAGATTCAACTCAGTAGTGGAGGGAAAGAAAGAGGAGGAGGAAAAAAAGGACAGCTGTTTCAAACTTGCTAAGTCTGAAGTGCTCATGGTACTATCACATAGAATGCTCAGCAAGCAGAAGAAAATATAGGCTTAGAGTCTTGGAGAAAGTCAAGACTTTGCTGATTATTCACACAAAAGGCATAAGTGAAGCTGTTGATAGGTGAATAGGTGTAAACATGAAGGAAAAGGGAGAAGATTCATGTCCAGGAAGGAAGAGAGCTGGCTAAGGAAAAAACCAAAGTCGGATGAATAGCAGATAGTGAAGAAGACATAAAAGGAGCCACAGAGCAGGGAACAAAACCTAGTGCCGCATCTCGGAGGCCAAGGAGAAAAAGATTTTTAGGAAGACGTGTGGGTGAGCAATTATGGGTGACATTGATTTTCCTGTTTTAAAACCTTCTTCCAAAATCAGGTGTTACCTTTTGTAAAATATTTTAATCAGATTTTTTGAAGAAATCTTTTTATTAAGAGGGGCAAATTTTACAGAAACATAAGAAAATGGGGGCTGAGGATATCACATTTAGGGATCAGGAACTCATGGGTGTCCTTTAGAAACACATTTCAACAAAAAGAGCATCAGAAGATTGTGTCTGTGGAGGAGGGGTAGGGAGGAGCCAGGGGAGGGGACTCTTAGCAAGTGACTAATAAGCAGGTTGATCACTTGAGGCAATAAGAGCATGGAGGGGATTTACTTTATTTTTTTAGAGAAGAGAGTAAGGGGCACATTTAATGAAGAGGGGAGGAACAATAAAGAGGAAAAGGTTGAAGATGGGTAGAGTGGGAATTCTTGATTGAGCAGGAGATAGAAAGGAGGCTAGGAGAGTGTGAACATTAGCCTCGAAAAGTGAAAAACGGGGACATGTCTTCTCATACAGAGGGAAAAGGGAGGAGAAACAGGAAATGAGGCTGAGAGATTTTAAAGCAAACAGCGGGACATTGAGGGATCTCAGTCTGAATGGTTCAAGAGATCACTGATCTTAGGGGGAGTTTGAGAAGACCTGTGGAAAGCAGAAAAGCAGTCTACATGCTTCACCAAACCAAGCCAGGAGTTTCTTAAATCTGTATCAGATACAGATGAATCTCTCCACGTCAAAAGTTTTAGTAGGTCCCAAGAGCAACATAAAAGAAGTCACATCTGGCTCATGAGTCTTATCATTTATAGAGCAGCCTAACTGGTTGGACTATAGTAGAGAACATAAGCAATATATAAATAATAAACTCCTAGCATTCAGGAGTCCTCAAAATGTAATCTGCAAATGCACAAATCCCAAGGAACACACACAGCTGCACACATGCACAAATTACGCCACGCTCTGCAAAGGGAGTTCAGACACCAGGAACTCTTGCATGAAAGGAAAGAGAGCTTCATTGCAGTAGATGGTTGGAAATCAGTTAAGGCTGAAAAAGGAAACGTGGTTTTACAGGATGAAGTCAGAGGAAAATTGACGTTCCAAAAATCTTCTCCAGTCTGATTTAACAGATAAAAAATGAATCATGTGTCAGGATCCTTGCATTCAGTTTCCAGGAGGATAATTTTACACACCAAGAGTTTAGTCACAGGGAAAGTTTCTTGCTTCTTTGTCCACATCAGGTCCCACAGGGAACATTAACTATATCAGCTACACCCTTGCTAGTGTTGATAGAAGTCAGCGATGCTGGGCCACTACTTCAGTACCTTCTATTTCATCTTTAATCCTACTTCACTGAAGTTATTCTTCTAATCATGAAACACAGCAAAGAGGGAAAGAATTAAATGTGATTAAACATGGCAAAGAAATGTAAAGAAGCAACATCCCATTCCAGCCAGGCAGGCCTCCTGCAGTAGAATCTGAGGCTTTTCATCAATTGCAGTTCAAGATGCCCCATGTGCTGAGGAGCAGCCCCTCCCGAGCACAGCTCTCAGCCTGCGGTTACTCAAGAGAAGAATAATGGGGTGGATTGCTGTACCCAGATAAATCACAGTCTGCCACATCCAGTACCGGAATCCCCCAAAGGGAAACATCCCTGAGGCAGTGAGGACCAGTGACAGAAAAGAGGAAGTGAAGAGGATAGCAAAGGAGACAAGAGCCAGGAGAGCCTTGATGTGTGCCTGGGCACTGGAACTGTGAAAGCCTGAAATAGAAAAGAAGACCTTCTTGGTGTGTCTCCCCAGAGATGTAATGAGCAAAACTGTGCCCGCGATGAAGACAACAGTAGGAATGGTCCAGGTAACAATCCTCAAAGGGAAGAGGAAGAAACTCTTATATGTTCTCACAGCATTCCTAGTGACATTCCAAGATTGCAGACCCCTCTTTAAATAGTTTTGATACATTCTCTGGTTGCCTATGAAAAATAGAACGGAGGTAAAGGTAGAGAACCCCAGAGAGCTGAATAGCATCCAAGGAACCAACCCAGAGACATTCCGCTTTAGCCAGAGGAAAATGGGGTGGGTGAAGGTTGCGATCTTCACACAGTAGAAGACAGTGAGCCAGGTGGAGAAGCACAGCGTTGCAGAGTTCAAGAAGTCCCACTGAACGGCCAGGAGCTGGAACACGGGGTGGTACGGGAAGGCCGCTGGATTCAGGAAAATGTAAATGTTCCTACTAATCACCACCCACTGCAGACAGAAGCGAGAGGCCCCCAGGCTGACCAATAACTTATCGCAGGGCGACAGCATTCTCCGCAGCAGCCACTCGCTGCCCAGTGCTGCAATGATCAAGCCATTACCTACCAATGCCACCAGGAACAAAAGGAATAAAATAATAATGAAGATGATGGCTGCCTTATCAACCAACTGAAGTCCTGGAACCACGTCCTCTCCACTCATCTCTCCTGCAGACTTCAAGGTCTCTTCCTGTAGGGCGGTTCGGGAAGGTCCTGGATAATATCGGTCCCTCCAGCTGCCCCAGTACAGAGGATAAAGTCGAGGATGTGGGCTATCTGAGGAGGGTGAGGAGGTATTTTCTTCTCAGAATAGATGCAAATATCATTAAGGCTCAGTTTCAGAAGTCCCCCTGCCTATCCATGAATTTGCCTGTCCTTCCTCTGCCTACTTTCTGCCCGTGTCAACACTGGTATGGATACTATATCAGGTCCTTGCATTTAGCATCCCTCATGTGGGAACTTATACCTCTCTAAGCTGACACCTAAGACATAATCACACACCTGCTGGCTGCTCCATGAGGAAATTTGGAGGGCACACCCCCATCAGACATCCAGAGCTCACATCCAAGATTGGTTGGTGTGTTCCGGGCACTGTTCTAAGTGATCTTTGTTGTCCTTAGTTCTCACAATGACTCTATGAAGCAGGTGACTTTAGAAAACTCCTTTGACAGGCATAAAACTGAGCAACACTTCTACTTAGGTTAACTCAAATCCTACTACTTGTGGGGACCATTATTATCAAATAGAGCACAAGAGACAACTATACATAATAAAGGATTTCCTAGGTGGTGCTAGTAGTATAGAATCTGCCTGCCAATGCAGGAGACACAAGAGATGCATGTTCAATTTCTGGGTCAGGAATATCCCCTGGAGTAGAAAACACACTCCAGTATTCTTGCTTGAAAAATTTCATGGACAGAGGACACTTGTGGGCTACAGTCCATGGGGTCACAAAGAGTCAGACATGACTGAGCACACAATGCACGTGCAAGTGAATGCTTTAACTATATTTTACTAGTGATCTTTAAAGGGCATTTCTGGGCTTCCCTTGTGGCTCAGCTGGTAAAGAATTCTCCTGCAATGCAGGAGACCTGGCTTCAATCCCTGGGTTGGGAAGATCCCTTAGAGAAGGGAAAGATAACCCTCTCCAGTATTCTGGCCTAGAGAATTCCAGGGACTGTATAGTTCATGGGTTCGCAAAGAGTTGGACATGACTGAGCGACTTTCAATTTAGGAATTTCCTGGTGGCTCAGATGGTAAAGAGTCTGATTGCAAAGTGGGAGACCTGAGTTCAATCCCTGGGCTGGGAAGATGCCCTAGAGAAGGATATGGCAACCCACTCCAGTATTCTTGCCTGGAGAATCCCATG